AATCAGGAGACATATTGCAAATTCTTTGATCTTTGCAACAGAGATTCAAGTCCTCATTTTCCACAAGCAGGGTGTGTCATCTTCATAACACAGGTTGTTGATGAGTCTTCCTCCAATGCTGATGACATGTTCCTCCCCATAATGAATGATCTCTCAAATGAATGATCTGTTCCACATATAGATTGAAAAAAATTACATGGTTTAAAATTAGGAAGGGAGTAGGTCAGGGTTGTATTCTCTCCATACCTAGTCAGTCTGTATACTGAGCACATTATTCAAGAAGTTGGACTCTGAAAAGAATGTGGCATCAAGATGCAAGTGCATTATGCAGATGATACAGCCTTGCTTGCTGAAAGTGAGGAGGACTTGAACACTTCTAAAAAGATTGAAGAATACAGACTTCAATATGGATTGCATCTGAAAAAAACAAGTAGATTGCATCTCAATGTCAAAAACAAGATTCTTACCACTGGATCAATAGATAACATCATGATAGAGAAAAAAATTGAAACTGTCAGCCACTTCATCTTACTTGCATCTCCAATTAACACCCATGGTTCCAGCAGTCAGGAAATCGGGAGGCATATTGCACTGGGAGTGACTAGGTTAAGAAAGGCTTGAATGGTGGTTGAGCCAGGCCACAGAGAGTTCTAGCTGATGGAAAGTGAGGAAAGAGTATTTGAGAAGTTAGATGGCATGATTAGAGGGATGTTTTGGGACCTGGATGGGAAAGTCTGCTGTTAGGGACCTCTCTAAAGTACTCAAGAGCAACAGTGTCTCTCTGGAGACTAAGGTGTGCCTGATACAGGCCATGGTCTTTGCAGTCACTTGTTATGCATCAGAGAGTTGGACAGTGACTAGGGAGGACAGAAGGAGAATTGATGCCTTTGAGCTCTGGTGCTGGAGAAGAGTACTGAATGTACCATGGACTGCCAGGAAAACAGATTCATCTTGGAGAAGATTAAACCAAGCTACTCCTTGGAGGCAAGGATTCTGGGGCTTCGTCTGACATACTTTGGACATGTTGCCAGGAGGAACGGGTCCTTGGAGAGGGACATCATGCTTGGGAGGGTGGAGGGACAGCGCAGGAGGGGAAGACCCTCTGAAATGGATTGATTCGGTGACTGGGGTAATCGGGATAGGTGTGTCAGAGGCAGTGCAGTTGGCGCAGGATACAGCAGGGTTTAGGGCTGTTGTGCATAGGGTCGCTATGAGTCGCAAACGACTCGACGGGACATAACAACAACAAACAAGCCTGGGTTGAGGAACCAGGAAAGGATGAGGCAGGAGGAAACTGCATTGGTATCACAACAGAGGTGGTGGCTGTCTAGGAATGACCGATACAGAAGAGGAGTAGGATTTGGGACTGGGGGATTTTATTAGATATGAGCATTAGAAAGAAAAAATGATCATTGGCACCATGAAGTTTACAGAATTCAGGTTTGTGGTTCTAACAGTAATAAACATAGGAGAGTCAGGAAATTCTGCTGCTGGATCAGGAGTTGAGCTGGAGGTGCCACAGACTGCAGGATGTGGAGCAAGTGTGTTAGGTGAAGAGAGGAGAGAATAATAACCTGTAGGAGAGTTTCAGGCAAGGAGAATACTAAATGAAAGAGGTGGTCTAGGCATCAAGGGACCTTGGGGAGGAAGCCCAAGCCTTTCAGGGTGGGGAGGACAGAGTGGATGGGCCAGTAGTGAGTGGTCACAAGACCAGAAAAAACAGAAGGCAGAGAAAGCGCCAGACTGTGGAGGGGGCAGAGGGAGAACACGAGCAGATAGAATTGAGCCTGTGTGGTGAGATATAGAAGAAACTTAGGATATAGATGGTGAACAGAAGAGGAAGATGTGGTGACCCTAAAAGAGAAGGGGGACTGATTTCTGGCAAGTTATTTTTTGTCATTAGAACAACATTGAGTCTGACTGACCCATAACTGGCCCTCCAGCAGTTTTCAGAGGCAGTGAATCACTCAGGATATTGCCCATCGTCCCACAGAGAAGCCAATGGATTCTAATCTCATGCCTTTGGATTGGCAGCGCAACTGCTTACCCATTAGACCTTTAGAACTCCTTTAGAATCTATTTCCCCCCCTTCTTTTAAAGTTACAGTAGGAAACTGGAGAAGAAACAGATGTCAGTGTTGAGCAAAGGAGGTAAGAGTGGGTTGAGAAGGTTGATGTTGACCCCTTGATGCCTGACCTGGGACCCTGCTCCCAGTGCTGAGTGAGTGTTGCATGTGCCCACAGTCCATAATCCACACAGCTGCATCCATCCATCCATCCCTATCACAGTACACACACCTGAACTGCCTCCACTGTTACAGTGCAGATGCCTGCAGTCATCACTGGCACACTGTACACTCCCACAGCCCTCCTGCCCACAGTGCACAGTCCCTTCTAGTTATCTCTTGTTAGGTGCTAACACTTACAAGTTGAGTATGTATGACTCAGGGATCCTATGAACATTAGATTTCAACCCTGTCCTATCCTATGCCATCCTCACAGCTTAACACACTTAAACCAGTTACTGCAGTCACTGTGTCAGTCCACCTGATTGAGGGCCTTCCTCTCCTTCAGTGTCCCTTCGTCTTTCCAAGCATGATGTCCCTTTCCAAGGAAAACCGCTGCTAACAGCATGCCTAGAGTATGGGAGATAAAGCTTTAGATCTTTTCCAAGAAATGCTCTGGCTGCACCTCTCCAAGACGTACCTCTTGGTTCTTTTGGCAGTCCATGAAATATTTAGCATTCTTCTCCAGCACCACAGCTTGAAGGCCTCAGTTCTTCTCTGTCATCCTTATTCATTGTCCAGCTCGCCGATGCATAGCCAATGGTGGGAATGACCATGGCTGGAATCAGGCACACCTTAGTCCTTAAGAGGTCCCTGACTGCAGACTTTTCCCAGTCCAGTACGTCTCCTGATTGCCTGCCTCCTGGTACCAAGTGTATTGATTGTGGATCCAAATAAGATGAAGTCTTTGACAGTTTCAATCTTTTTCTCTGTTTTTCAAGGTGTTACCTATCAGTCCAGTGGCTAGGATTTTTTCCTTGATGTTTGAGATGCAATCCATATTGAAGGCAGCAAGTGCTTCAAGTCCACCTCACTTTCAGCAAGCAAGATTGTGTAATCTGCCTAACAAACAAAGGTCATTGAGTCTTCTTCATTCGTGATGCCACATTCTTCTTCATAAGATTCTAGCTTCACATAGTGTTCCCTTGCTGTTCGCACAGTAGCCTTTTGGTCTAGGTACAGGTTTTGCATGAGCAGTGTTCTAAGATTCCTATTCTCATCTGACAAGGGATGGACATTTGTGTTTTTCTGAGTTAGGCAAAAATATACTTGGGGTTTCTTTGTTTATTGATTGTATTTCTGAGATTCCTGTTCAAATTGTTCTCTGAAAGCTGTCACTGTTTACATTCTGTATACATACTGATTTATTTCTTAGAAAATGAGAGGATTTGCAAGAGCACATGTTCATTGGTAGGATTCTTTCCTTCTGTGTCTGAGATCCAGGTTTAGTTTCTGCCTAAAGAACTTCATTTATCTCCACTGTCAGTGGAGGGTAGTGCCTTGCTATGATGCTGAACAGGTTTTCACAGAGCCTTCAAACCAAGAGAGATGAAAAAGAAAGGCCTGGTCATATTTCCTCCCCATATCAACCTTTTAAAAGTGTAGATCACAGTGATGTGACTTTCAACCACTTGGGCCAGGCAATATTTAGATCTTTTTTTGCATGAAGATCTCCATGAATCCGAGCTGATTTGACCCCACCCTTGAATTTAAAATAGAATGAATTTCATCTCAAATGCATCAGCTCTCGTCAAAGTTACTGGGCCTACAGAATCTTAAAAGAATGCATGTCTTGCACACCCATGTTTATTGCTACTCTGTTCACAATAGCAAGGAGTTGGAAACAACCTAGGTGCCCTTCAACAAACAAATGGATAGAGAAGCTGTGGTATATTCACACAATGGAATACTACGCTGCACTGAAAAACAAGGAACTCATGCAATATTATTCAAAATGGGTGACCCTGGAGGACATTATGCTGAATGAAGTATCTCAGTCACAAAGGGACAAATACTGCATGGTGCCACTATTGTAAAGCAGGACTGACCTCAGGGTTGGGAGGAGACTGAGAAAGATGGGATAAATAATGTATACTTTATTGAAATAGATGAGGGAGAAAACTGTTTAAAAGGGATATGTGATTAAGTATTTTTGTCATGACAGGAGTCCAGAACGAAGGCTGCATAGTGGAGTGAACCTGGGGGGAGGGATTGTAAAACAATGAAAGAATTTTTCTTTCACTTTTCAAAGAGAAGAGTGTTCTGGGGGGTAGGGGTGGTCAGGGAGAAAAGTGCAACAATGAATGAATGGAAACCCAAAGTCTCTGTAAATTTTCATTAAAATTAATAATAATTTTTTTTAATGCCTGCCTTGGTCCTCCCCACCTCCATGTCACCCCTGCACACAGTCCTGAAAGCTTTCTCGGGTCTCCTGACTACCACCTAGGCCTTGTCATTTCATGCAGCTCATTCTGGGTGGAACCTCATTTTTATTTTCTTGGTGGGAGAGTAGAAGCACTCTGGGAAACCTAGTTGTGCAGATGCTAGTGTCACTGTTTTTGTGGACCCCGCCCGATGGCATGGAGACATTCCACCCCTGTTGGTACTTGAGGAATCCGAGGGCCTCCTGGGAGTCCAGAGTAGTTCTCTGACACACATTTACCTGTCTCCAAGCCCTTTCTGTCTCACAGGAGTGCTGAAGAAAATAAAGAGAAATAATTTGGGAAATTGAAGGGATACAGGTCAACAGGAAGAAGTCTGAGTCTGAACCAGAGGTGGGAGGGCTGAGTGCACCAGGGGCTTGAGATTGAATGGAGAGCATGGGTCTGCATAGCAGGCATCAGGTTGTCCTGGATGCCTGGACTCCACTCCCACTCCCTACCCTCACTCCCGTGTCCTTTGTTTTGCCAGCTCACATCCACGGTGAGCAGATCTGTGTGGCTGCCAGGATGGCGGAGGATCAGGAGTTAATGCAGCTCTGCAAGTTGCCCCCAAAGCCTTCCCACTCACACTCCATCAGCAACACTTACCGCAGCACCCAGCACTCGCAGGCCCTGCTGCGTGGCCTGTTGGCTCTTCGGGACAGTGGGATCCTCTTTGATGTTGTCCTGGTGGTGGAGGGGAAGCACATTGAGGCCCACCGCATTCTGCTGGCCGCATCTTGTGACTACTTCAGGTGAGTTTTACCCAGGGCTGCTTTTTAGGGTGGTTTTTCCCCCCTTAAAATGTTTATTTTAGGTTTCCATATTTCCTTTTAAAGGAGAAAGGTCTGTCCCATCTTCTGGGTTTTCAGAGGCAGTTAACTGAATGGGAGAAAGTTGCCTATCCTCCCAAAATGATAGATGAATCCTTGGATATGCTTTGCAGTGTATTGTTGTTATGTACTAGAGGGTCAGAACTGACCCATAGCTGACCCTCCAGCAGGTAGGTTTTCAAAGTTAGGTAATCGCACAGGAGATTGCCCATCCCTTCCCCCGTGGAGGAGCTGGTGGCCTTGAACCACGTGTCTTTGGGATTGTAGCACAGCTTCTTGACAGTAGGCCACCAGAGCTCCTTGTCCTATCTTTTGGGATGTAACCTTCTCATTTTATTTTATCATAGTGGGGATTGTTGTTATATCCTTTTGTGTATGAATCATCTCATAGCTGGTTTTCAGAAGCAGTTTAATTGTATGGGAGGAGATTGCATATCCTTCTCCCACGGATAAATTGGTAGATTCGAACTATGTGTTTTTGAGGTAGCAACACAGCTTCTTACCAGCCACCAGAGCTCCCTTATCTTGGTCAAAAACTCTTAAGATAAAGTGTGCCATTTTAGCATGTATAATTGTGTTTGTAAGGAAAATAATGTGGTCCCCCTGGGTAGATAACACTGTCGCACAGGAACTGTGCCTCCCCATGTCTTTGTCTTCTGCCACAGTGGGCAGGCATCCTCCCGTCTCCAACTCACACCAGAGTCCCTCCCATTGTTTGTTCTGATGGCTCAGAGAATCACCTCTCCTGTCTCTTGAGACATACGCTGTCTGTTTTTTTAAAAAGTTATTATTAATTTCAATGAAAATTTACAGAGACTTTGGATTTCCATTCATTCTTTGTTGCATGTTCTTTTTAAACACTAAAATGCAGCCTCCAGGAGGGTTTTCTCAGCCCTTTCCCACTTGACCCCTCAGGTGGGTCCACCCAGCAGGCTATCTCACACATGGACACTGTCCCCTGAAACCGCCAACTGAAACCGACCTGCGGGTTCACATGTGTTCTAGAGTGGGACCTGTGCAGATTAAAAGGGACAGGGACATGAGAGAAGGGGGCCAAACAAGGTTCGTTGATCAAGCCCCAAGTTTATTCAGTAATTCCACAGATATTTATAGGGAAACTACAGAAGCCCAGCCCCAAAATACCAGTTTACAGCAGGTCGGAGGGGCACGCCCAGAGTCAGTGAATCACACTGATCCCAGGGATGGGCAGGGCTGCCTTATGCTGAGCTTGGCCTCTCCGTGTCTGCAGTGGGTATGTGAAATAAAGTCCACGGGCAAAATAGTGTTGCTCGTGCCAGAGCCAAGAGAGCTCAGGATGGCTTCCTACA